CTCATGGCGAACTGGTTGGTGAAGTTCGTATTAAAGTAGTTTTAGAAGTGTTGAAAGTTGATTATGATCAGGAACATAAGTCCAACATCAGCTCGTGACGAACTGGTTGCTATAAGCAGCTCGTCTGATGTAAATGCAGAAGCTCGTGGCAAACTGGTTGTTATAAGTAGCTCGTCTGATGTAAATGCAGAAGCTCGTGGCGAACTGGTTATTACAAGCAACTCATCTCGTGCAAATACAGAAGCTCGTCTCGTGCAAATACAGAATCTCGTCTCAGGTGTCAAAACAAGATTATGGAAGTTTGGTTTAAGGGAAGTTGTTAGGATTAGTGTATCAAATGGTTCATCCCTATAGAAGTTTGGTTTAAGGGAAGATGTTAGAATTAGTGTATGTAGTGATTCATGATGTTTAGGTTACTAATAAATGACTTTAGCCTAAGCTGCAAGTTGTAATTTGTTACTTACACGTGTATTGCTGCAAGTTGCAATCTGTTACTCACATGTATTAGACTTGTGTATATAATAGAGTTGTAACCTTTTTCTATTCAATTAATGAAAGTTAACAGAAAACAACTTTACTCTTATCCCTCTCAATTCTCATTCACAACTTCAATTACCATTAGCAATTCATGCATCACAAAATAGTTTCGTTGTTTTCAACTGTGAATAGTTTGTGAAAAAAAATGCTTACTTCCTAAATTAATTTTGGAGAAACATGAAAGCTTGTATTGTGGTAAAGTATCTAACAAGGAGGTGCTTTTTGATTGGTCAACAGTTGGGATTCTAAAAAGAAGTAAATAACGGTTTGGTTGATCTGCTCAATTGTACTGCAGGTAAGAACTCAAAGGAGATGAAAAAGAACAAATTGCTTGTTTAGCATAGGATGGTGATCTACAATAAGTTGGCACAATCATTTGCTCCTGAAATTTATGAACATGAAGATAATAAAGAAGCTCTACTTCACCTTGTGCGTATTCTTTCTTGGAAGTTGAAGGATGGGAATGTTGGTAGAAGTAACCTAGTGATATGAGAACACTTGTGAGGAGATTGATTTTGCTTGTCACTACAACAGGTGGTAAAGTTCAACTAGCACTCTGGAATGATTTGGGCTACTTAGTAATACATATTTTCATTTTTTTTATAAGAAGATATGAAATTATAGTAGTAAATTAAATAGGACGAAGTTACATAAGTAGACCATCAAGGCATTGTGAAAGTTGAAATCCAATGGGGAGTGAAGTATCATATGCAGTATTAAAATGTCTTCAACTTGATTGCTGAAGCTATTTGATTTTGACAATTATAGTTACTACTTCTCTTATGCCATGAAGGATTTTCTGGAGTTATGACAAGATTCCTTTGAGCTTCTTGGTGGATCAATTAAGGCTAAGAAGTGTTTTGCTCGTATAAGAAATTTCAATGCGCCATCAACTATAGGGAGGTTAAATTTTTAAGTTGATGGAAATGATGCTTTTTGAAAGCAACTTTTTGTTTTTGGGCTCCAATGTCATACAAAACATAATGTTCTCTCTTTTTTAATTTTAAATGACAAATTACTAATTCTAATTTTTGCTTCAGGTCATTTTTTATGAGCAAGACTAGACTCCTCAGGTAGATAGACAAGCTCTATAGTGGGCACAACAGACTTATCTCTTTGGACACTTACAGATGAGACAATTCTACTTCTAAGAAGTTGGGTGGCCTCATCCTAATCTTGTTTTCTTTCTCTTGAAGAGGTTTGTGTATAGATTTATGTGTTCGATGACCTTCATTCTAAATATTTCCTCTTAACTATCTAATTCTATATGGGAATTTGGAGTATTCAGATGACTATTTAATGGCAATTTGCTGATTTGGAACTTCAAAGTTCCAACCTAAAGATCAATATGATGTGATAAACACAGGCAATCGATTGCATAACGTTTTAAGTTCTTGATCATTAAATTAGTATAGATTATCAGTAAAGATTAATTGACTAAAATTTTGAAAAACTGACAGATATTGTGTGTCTTTTTTCACAGTTCTCACTTAATGCACTTTGTTTCTCTCCTTATTAGATTAGTGCTCTTGATTTTTTAATCTTTAGATTTGCTTTTTGTGTCTAGGTAATAGAATCATTCTTACCCCTACCCTGGTATTGAGCTTGAACCATTTAAAGAAGGTGAATTCCTAGTTCAAGTATGTTTTTTCGTCTTAGTTTTGTAGACAAAAGATGTGGGTGTTTGGAGTCTATTTGTGTCGTTTGCCTAGAATAAGAAAAACTTTTTTTGCTTCTATGAGTTTGCAATTTGTATTTACCTTAGTTTCTTGTTACATTGTTTACTTCCAACCAAAATGTTGTTTCAATTATCCTCGTGATCAGGCTAATGGTGAAGCTGAAATTGTGGACCAACTATTTCAGAAATTGTATGTTTCTAGGCATCGTGTTCTTGTTGGTCAGAGGACCTATATGCTTGATATTTTAAGGTTTACATTCCAAATCTAAATGATGTTAAACTTTACATATTCAGCTTGAGTGCTGAAGTTAGTTGATTTTGAAAACTACAGTTACTCCTTTTCACAAGTAAATAGGAGTTTTTGGAGTTACAAAAGTATTCCAATGAGCGTCTTGATGGATAAATTTGGGCTGAGGATTTTGCTGCTATAAAAAAATTCAATGCTTCATCATTTATCGGGAAACTCAATTTTGAAGCTTATAGAAATATTGCTTTTGTTTTTATGATCTATACAACAGTTGGGGAAGCGGTTTTGATATTTGTGGTCGTCGATACTGTGAGCTTTATGAAATTCTCTACTAACCAATTTTTCACTCTTCACACTAGCGGAAGTTTTACTATTGGGCTTTGGTGTTTTTTTTTTTAAATCTAAAATTGTGAGAAAGATCTTGATTATTTTCTTTTAATCTTATATGGGTTTTTACTAATTTCAAACTTGAGGCTCTAGGAAAGAAGGCAGAAGAGTAGAAGTTGGCTAATTAGGATGCTTATGGATACCATTCGTGGTCTGCTAAAGATTTTATCTACCTAGATTATGGTGATACAATGTCAGAATCATGTTCTATTCATTTTGTTTATGGAGATTGTTCATATACCTCATAAATTTTTCCTTCATCACCTAGTATTATATTCATGTTTTTTTTTTTTCGTGCTTCCGAGAAGTTTAGTGGTAATATTTCTTCTTGTGTCGTAAAATGTCCTTGTAATTATTTTCTCTTTTGTATTTCACTTGTTTATGCTTCGTTTTCTAGATGCTTTAGTAAAATTTTTCTTTGAAATATGAGCATGAAGCCATTTATCAAGCAATATTGAAAGCTCAGGACTTTTCTTCTTATAATGCTTAGAATATCTTATTGGCAATGATTGAGTTTGCACATTATTATGTCTTACCTTATAGATTTTCATTGTAATTTGTATATGGGAAGCTGCAAGAGGATAAGAATTCTTAGATAGTATGAAAGCTGACTTAAAGATTTTAAATTAAAACTTCATAGCTAGGGCTTACCACTATCTTATTTATTTGTCTTTCTGTTTGAAATTGTCAAGCAATAAATTTGGTGTCATTAAGAATATTATGAATTTTTTGAATGCTAATTTTCCAGTTGCGTTGATAACTCTGGAAACTGGGGGCATGGAGGGATGTTTGATGCATTAAGAAAATGTAAACATTGCTAATTCATATTGGAGGGCTTTTAAGGGACATTAATCTTGGTGATCTGCATTGTTTACGAATTAATGGTTTGCTTTTATTTTCTTTCTAACCATGTGTTATATATTGTTGTTCCTATCTAAATCGCTTCCCAAGGCACACACGAACACTTATGAATTATTTGAATAAAAGATTGTTATGTATATCTCTTTTTGGTATATGTTGTGTTCATTACAATACTTTACCTCACATTACCAAAGGTAGTACATGATTACTTCTATTTGTTCTGAGGATATTTTTGTTAATTGTTCTCTCATTTTGCTTTATGCAAATCTTTCTTCTATTTATTTTTGTTTGCCCTTAGAAATTCTCAAAGGGAAGTTGACAATATGCTTATTTATCTCAACAAATGAGTGATCGGACTTGTACTTTGACTGGACTTAAATGTTATTGCCAATCAAAGTCATATCAAAGTATTTGTCAACTATCACAAAAATTCATGTGCTGTTGATAAATTGAGAGTAAGACAACCTGATTTGATCAAGATACTCTGATTGGTCTTTAATAACTCTTTGGATTTTGTTTGAAATTCTTAGAAGTAATTGACTTCTTGCTGATAAGTTATTATCTTTTGAGAGTATTTTTTGAGTCTCATTAAGGAAAACTAAGCTTCATTTTGAAGCATATGAGTCCTTCAACTCATATATATTCATAAGACATTTGCTCTCAATTTTTTCTTTTTCTTTTTTTTTCTTTTTTTCTTTTTTCTTTTTAATTTTTTTGATGAATTGAAATTGAAAATATGTATTCTCACATTATGCCCTTTATGTGCCAAGTTCTTGCTCTCCTAAACTTTTTATCACTAAATATCAACCATTTTGTCGCTATGCATAGAGGATTATGATGAAGATAGTATAAATAATACTCCTCGGTGGGTGGCTTTGGCTATTGTACAATCATATAATCCAAGGCATAAAGTCTCGGAGTGATATATATCTTTCTTGACTTTGAATGTTGATTCTAGTTAGTCGTTGCGCACTTGGTTTAGTTTGACTTGAATTGAGTATGTTTTAACTTTTAATGGCATATTAGGTGGCCTAGTTTTTTCATGTTAGGAGAAACTAGAGTCTTAGTTTTAATATTTTATCTTAATGCTGAATTTTTATTGACCATTAGATTCGCACCAGATATCCCTCATTTCTTTTTAGGGCTATTTCAGTAATTATATGATAACATTTAATCCATTTCTATTTAAATCTGCAGGTAAGTACAGAATTTCTTGTCTCACTAGACTTGATATGATATGTCTTTTCTTCCACAATAACTTGTTCATTTAATGTTTGCAAGAGGGCCTTCTTTTATCGTCTTAGGCTATGGTAGATTTTCCTTTCTTTGTAAAGCACACCACTTTAATTTTTTAATACAGTGCAGGAGATGGGTTGGTTAGAGGAACAAGATAGACTCACCAACTAGGTTGTTTCAAACTTAAGTAGCTAGATTGTAAAGAAGACTCGATTTAGAGTCAAATTATTTGTCAACAGAATTTTAATTTGTTAAATTATTTTGCTCATGTGGCTCACTCCTTATTATTGAACTCTTGGTGCTCGTATATTTTGAATTATCATCGTTTTAACCCTAGGTTTGATATAAGTGCTGGGATGATTGCAGAACAGTAGTCTATAAAGTGAGCTTCTAATTTTAAAAGCTCCCTTTGTTGTTGTGCTAAATTTCTTAACATTATATCTAGTTTTTTCACATATCCCTTTCTTGATATGGGAGGGCACACTTACAAGGACATATGAAATAAGATGCTTCAAGTTGGTTGACGGAAAGTTTTCAATGTAAGTTAACCATTGAAATGATTCCTCTCCCCTTTTCTTGCTTTTAATTATTTGGTAGTCTACTCTTTTTTTGTTATATTGGTTGAATTTTATAAATTGATACTTGTTTCATTTCCAGCAATTTCTTTCATCCGTATAGAATGGTTAATGTTGACTTCTTCATAAAAATTGGGGATTCTTATTCATTTAAAATTTACCTAACTTTACTAGTCGAACTTCTCTTCCATCGGTGATGATGTGGACTGTGGTGCAAAGAGGTCTATTTGGCTGTTGCATTAAGGGTTCTCCTGGAAAACTACCTTGGTAATGATGTCAGATGAATTTCATTGTTGGCTTCCTGTGAGTGGAACTCATACAGTGCAGGAAATCACACACAAGATTTTATTGTGCTAGATATGTGTGTTTGTTTCTAGACTGGAATTGAAGATAATGAGTCATTTGTCAATATTTAGTTCAAGTAAGGTACACGGATTATATTTTGTGTTCTGCATAATTAGTTTTTTCATTCTATCATATTTTATGCCAGATGATCTTGTTAAATTTCTTCTCTTCTTTTGTCTTGAATTTGTTATTTTGAAATGCTTCACCAAATATGCTATCTCATGCAGGAACTATGCGGACAGATGTGGTGTTGATGGATGAAGCGTTATCTAAAGATGTTCTCTTGAGTTTTCATTGCAGGTATTACTTGAAATTAGTCTGTAATTGCTTTTCTTGTTGAATAATGGAGTTTGATATACCCATTAATCATATATGCTTTCAGGCTATCCTAATTACTGTCAAACATTATGATTACAGCATATTTTCTCATCTTCTATAGGTTGTATCAGGTTATTTATTTTTATTTTTTTTTCCTGATTTGTTAATGTTTTCTAATATTTCATTTTCTTATTGATTTCTACCGTTTGACTTCTAAATTTTTGAGACCTGGGTTCGACTCCCAGTAGTGACCTTTTTTTTTTTTAATTTAATAAATTTTTCCTTTTCGGCTCCTAACTTTTGATTTTATTCTTAATTTTACATATTTGCTGTTAATTTTTAATTTTCTTATTAATTTACTTTTGGCTTCTAATTTATCTTTTTATTCAGTTTTTAGATTTTCATTTTGAGATTAATTTTGCTCCTTTATTTTATTTTTAATTTTTCAAATTTATTGGCTGCGGTAACACCTATATTTTTCTTATTAATTTTACTTCATGATTGATTTTTTATTCTCTTGTCAATTTTATTCTTGGATACATTAACCTCTACCTATTCACTTTATTTTTGATTTTCTTGTTATGTAGTATGCTGTATTTTTCCTTCTAATTTCACTTCTTGATTTTTTTTTCTTATTAGTTATACCCTCATCTTTTACGGTTTATGCAACTCTAAATCAAACTAGTTACCCTTAAAACAAGTTGTTTGTGGTCTTAGGAGAGATTTTTGTGTTAGTATTTTTATTATTTATGGTGACGGATCGATTTAGTGGTGGTGTGGATAGTTTGTTTTGTTTATATACTCTTCTCCTAAACCATTATCTGGCATCGATTAATTCCCTCCTCTCCTTGTTCTCTTCTTTTCCTCTCTTACTTTTTGTTTAACTTCGATGTAGATAAAGGTATTCGTGGCTCTTTCTTTGATTATTTGATGTTAATTCTTCTTCTTTATTTCCTTTTTCAGGTGTCAGTTTAATAAAATTTGAGTATTACGTAGTTGTTTTTTATTTACTTCTACATGAACAATAGTATAATGATAAAAATTTTGTTATAACTTTGGCATACAGTAGTTGTAATGCATTATCCTTTGATAATGTCTTGTATGCTTGAGATCGGAATATATGAGATGGCTCACCACGAAATATTTGATACATTTGGTGGGCTATTGAATTCCCATTCTTGATTCTTTGAAGTTTATATAAGGTAACCTTCAAAGAGGTAACCATTTACTATGAGGGAGGTCAAGGCTTCACATATTGGTCAGTCCTTAAGGATATCAAGCATTATAACTCTATTAAGATGTTAAGCGACTTATGTAGGTTGCCATATATACATGAGAAGATTGTTGTTTTGAAATCTACCAAGTAACTGATTACAGGACCTCTAATTTCACAAAACTTGTATATGATTTGTCTGTTCTTCTACACCTATTTGTCTTTCATTTAATATCTGTCAAATAAAAAGTAACTGTCTATGTTTGAGTTCCCGTCCAAACATTGTTAGATAAATATAACAAATGGGAAGTTGAACCTTAAACTTAGAGCATTAAAGTTTTAGGAAGTTTTCAATTTAGTTTGGTTTCAGTCTTAGAATTGATTAATAGCAAGCATGATTATGTAATATTAGATGATGTTTCCGGCTAAGAAAGAGTTGGTCTAAGAAAGAGTTGGTTGCACATGTTCCAAAAGGTCATGTCTCTCAAACTATGGCTTGTCATTTGAGTGGAGAACTTACAGGAAAGGTTAGTGGTTGTGTCTGATTTCCAAGAAACTTTGGAGGCTACATCTTGTATTTAATTTTGGGTGTGAGAAGAGCACCTAAATCTTAGCAGATAATGTTAATATGCACCAAATTGTTACTAATCAATTTTACTGTAGTCAGATTCTTATAAAAACTTTGGATAAAGCCATGAGATCAAGTTTGATGAAAAAAGGGAATTACAAAACTAATTCACCCTTTCACTTATAAATTTGTCTCAACTAATTGAGAATCAGAAGAGAATGTCATTACATGGGTTTAAAGTAATTGTTGAGTGGTGTGAATAATTGTAACTTGCAATTGGTTCTTACGATATTCTTTGTTTAAAAAATTGCAGTTTTTCATATAGTTCATCATCTTATCCCTACCAGAGTTGTAACTCTTCATTGTAGCTTTTACCTCTCTGTTTTTCTGTTCATAGGTAGCTCCAGTTGATGTCGTTGAATTAGTAAGAATCCTTCTTCCTTATCCTTACTTTGGTTTAACAGCACTTCGTGCCTGCTTAGTTGTAGATACATACTTGGAGGCCATGTCTGTCACTCATTTCAAGAAAAATATGATGAGTAAGCCATCTCCAGTACTTAGTTACTATTAGTGAGCAATTTCATGCATCACAATATCATTTCATTGTTTTTAAATGTAAACAGTTTGAGAAATAATGCTTGTTTCCTGAATTTAGTTTGAAGAAACATGCATGCTTTTTTATTGGTCAGCTATTGAGAATTTTTAACGAAGTGAATGATGATTTGGTTGATTTGCTCAATTCTATTGCATGTATGAACTCAGAGGAGATGAAGAAGAATACATAGCTTGTTTAATAAGCAGAGGACGGTGATATCTACAACAAGTTGGTAGTCATTGGCATTTTTCACTCATTCCCATTAGATATGATTTTCTTTCTTCTTATTTAATGATAAATATATGATGTTACACTAATAATTTTCGTTGTACAAGATTTTTTATGCAATCCAAGTAATGGAACTTTTCCACGGCAACCACAATGTTCATTAAATGATACCATCAGCTTCAGCTACTGCACCGTTCTAGCGTTCTTAACTTTATTGGGTGATTACTAGTGTGAATTTTGAGTAAATTTCTGCTAGTTGTCTAATATAAGACTAGATCTGAGTAGGTGAGATTTAATATTTTAATGGAAACACTCTTCTCAATTTTCCTATGATTTTCTCATTCGAAAGACTTCAATGATTGAACCACAATAGGTTGTATAAAGTCCTCAGAGAGCGATCTGTCATGCCCATAAGATTGTTCCTAAATGGCACACCTATCCAAAATAATCTTTATAACCTTGGGCTTTGATGCGGTTTTGTATGCCTTCAACGTTTGGGACACTAGAAGAGTTCCTTTCTTCTTATTTAATGAAAAAATATATGATGTTACACTAATAATTTTCGTTGTATAGGAATTTTTCTGCAATCCAAGTAATGGAACTTTTCTATCCGCAAGGTTTGTTGAATGATACCATTTGCTTTAGCTGTTGCACTGTTTTAGCATTCCAAGATTAGCATTCTAGGATTGTTGTTGTGACAAACGACCATTGTATGTGTTAGAGTAGGTGCCCTAAAGCTAATCAATTATTGTAAAATTGACTCTGTAATAAATGTTCATTTATCAATAAAAGGCATATTCTTCTATATCATGTATGTAATGAAACATGTCCTTAGGATGGTAGAACTGTGGCAACGGTATCAAGTGTTTCAAATCTTGATAGTGAGAACCCTATGATCACGTATGGTGGCCATTCTAGAAATGTCTGTAGCCCCAATATTATTCTGACCGAGGACATAGATAATACGGTAAGACTATCATAGTATTGAATGACCCTGTCGAAAGGCAGTGATTGATCTCACTTGTCAAGGTTGTTTGCCGACAACCTGGTGCAACGCATAGGTGCTTGCTAGAGGCAAGTTCATTGGACAGACCCACCAGAGGATTCCATATGGATGGTAACCTCAATGTCTATGGAATAAATCCTCTAATGGATGATGGTGCATGTGATTTTTAGACTTGAGATCATCGGAGCGCCTTATGCACCAATTGGTGTAGTTTGACACTAGCTCAACGTAGTTCTATTCAGAGCTATCAATACGGTAGTGATTGGCTACATTGAGAAGTGTATCGAGACAATGGTGGATCGACAAAGGATTCATCACTCCTAGGTACGAGAGAAGTTATCTCACTGGGTAGTTCAATAAATAGCAATGACACTAAATCTGTGGCCACAGTGAGATTGAATTGATGCTCAATCCAATTTAATATTCATGTCTTGGTCCAGTAGCTGAATACAAACATGTCGAGGATATCTGAGGTTGACACTATTTATGTACCTCAGTCTCAATGAGATAACAATTGATGAAAGGATTTGATTGCACGGTAACCATACCGTTGACAGGCTGAGGTTTCACTAAATCCGAATCTATCGGGTGGCCATGATGCCTTGCTAGGGGCCAATTTTGGTTTGTGTGTAGTGAGACGATTAAATGGTATTAATTGTGATACTGCTCACTGCCGATATGATAAGGAGCCTACGGGTCATACACTTAGAAGATAATTTAAGAATCAATTTGTGAGAAAGGTATTTTTGTCTTTTAGGACGAAAAGGTATTTTGGTAATTTCATAGTACAATTAAATTTGCTGAGTTTGTTGCATGTATTTAATTTTAATATTAAAATTAAATTAGTAAGATTATATTTAAATATATCTATGTATATATATATTTAAATGAATTATTATTATTAATTAAATGTTAATATAATATTATATATTAATTGATTTTAATTATAATAATAATTAATTAATTAAAATACCATAAAGGGTGTGTTTGGTTGCAAGGGTGAACTAGGGTTGGAGCCCATGCTATTCCTAAGTGGAATAGGGTTTTAATTGTTGCACTATATAAGTGCAACTTAAAATTAAAACAAGTATGGAATTATTCATTCAATTAAAACCATTGTTTTAAAACCCGTCCTGGCCCGGTCGGTTGAACTGGTTAAACTAGGACCCGGAAGCTTCAACGGGCCGGGTTTATACTTTTCCTATTCACCCAAAACCCTAGGATTTGGGTGGATGATCGGCGACCAATTGACCATCGGCACCTTAGGGCTTTTGAAGATAAAGCGCTGGTGAATGTAATGGTGTTGACATCGTTGATTTCCGGTGAGTAAATCAACCGAAAATCGAACAAATCTGGCAACGACAATGATGGGATTTTGCCGGTGATTGGAGAGGCTAACGGGGGTGGGGTGAGGTGGGTTTTTGTCGGGAGGAGGAGGGGAGTGATTCCTGGGTGATGGGGAGGGTTGTCGTCGCCGACGTGGATGAGATCTGGCCTAGAATACCTACGCCAGCGTCAGTGAGATCTGGCCGAAATCGAACCTATTTCGGCCAGATCTTGGGTAGATTTTAGTGGAAATGGGCTCAGGGGAAGATTGGGTTGCATCTGGGGTGTTGCCACCGCCAATCGGTCGCCAGTCGATTTGCATTTAGGGTGTGTTTGATAAAGTTCAAACATATAGGGACTTACATGTAATTTTTAGGGGTGCATTTGCTTAATTTTAAATTTTTTTGTCAACTAGTCAACCCAGAACCCGGAAACTTTGCTGGGTTGTACCCCAGATTGGGTTTTAAAACATTGATTAACACCCTAGCCACCCTATCTCTCTCTCTGAAGAAGAAAACTTTTCTTGTTATTCTTTCTTGACTCTTGAAGCCCTTGATTGTTCTAGCATAATAATCAAGGGTTATGCAGATTATCTTCGTGTGGACTTCCGTGAGTGTGATCCTACTTTGGATTGGTTGGCAAAAAATCACGTGAACAGTAATCGCGAACAGTATCATGAACAGTGTTTCTGTCCGAAATCAGAGATATTCGAAGGAGCCTCCAAACATACGTAAGTATTCTAATCCTTGAATGGATTTACTTTATACATATTTTTGTTTATAAACATGTAAACGGTATAATCTATACTCGAATCTATGCAAAGAAAGGTAATTGACTTACTGATTTAATTTTTGTTTTCTGCTGCGTATGGTAGGTCAATTACTTATAGTATGTTGAGTATAACTTCATATACCAATGTAATGGGGATAGTTGGATAGCTACTAATAAATGGTTGTATTCGGGATTATGAATTTCCTAATGCCAGGAATAGCGACGGAAGAATCTAGATCCATAAGATGTTTCATCTTTGATTATGACGAAGAGCGAGGTGAACCAATCCCCAAAACATTGGAATTTCAAAATCTTATACATGGCGAATCCAGCTCAAGGTAATTGTTAACTCTTTCTTCTTCTTTTAAATTGTTTGTATGATTTCATTTTGTTGTTGAATTGTATCACTTATATGTTCATATAACTCATAAGAAATCTAAGTTCTATTTTGAAAAAAAATTCAAACTAGACTTAATTCGTGATTAATATTTAAAATTAATGAAAATCAAATAAAAATATCAAATCAAATATTTACTATTGTTAATTTGTTATTGATGATGACGATTTGTCAAAATGTTATAAAAAGCTTTGATAGTCCGTTGAAGTTAACTTAAGAGAAAATCTAATTCTTTATGAGGATATTTTCTAGATTTCCATTTTGATTGAAGTAAACTAAGATTAAGAAGAATACATTGAATTTAAGTAATAATACTAAATTATGAATTTTTATTATTATTATATATTAAGAGAGATAAATCATTTTTCTATCATATTCAAATAACATGAATTTCAAGCTCTTTATCATATCAAATTTTAAGCTTTTATTTTAAAACTTATTATAATTTGCATCTATAATATAATTTCAATTTATATGCAAATTGGTTTTAAGTCGATCTACCTAATTGGTAATAGTGGGTCCATATATTATCAAATGCAGTGGGTCACATATGCTATGAGTATAGCACAAAATTGTTTGTACATATGTTCAGTTAATATTTTACAATATATTAACTAGTATTGCACTATTAATCCCTTTTTTCCTATCTTTTAAATTAACTAAATAATATTCAATTCAGTCGATGGTTTTAGGTGAAAAACAGTTACATGAAAGCCTGAAATACAAAAAGATAAATTGTGAGGGTAAGGGATAGTATTTTTATTTTTTGAAAAATATATTTTAAATTTTATTTGATGGATATAAATCAGTTAATAATATCTTGTAATTACAACGTATTTATATCTTGTAATTTACAATAAAGAAATAGATCTCGTGAAACAAATATATATCATGGATTCAAAATAACTTTCCTTCTAGTGGTAAATTATTATTATTATAAATGTTTTAAAAACCAACTCGGCGCTAAACCCAGCAAATAAGTTGGGTCCCAGGTTGACTGGTTTGATCCACCGGTCAAACCGGTGATGTGTCACCTAAAAAAAATCCAAATGTTTTAAATCGGCACACATTAGCATAGTCACTCTTTCTAACACATGTTAGTGCACGTCGACGTCGGCCTTCTTTCCCCTTTTTCCGACTATTCTCTCACTCAAAATCACCCCGATCACCACTATTGGAACCCCTGTCCTCTCCTCTTCAAAACCATACCTTTTATCCCCTCTCATCACTCGTTAAACTCCGGCGATGGATAACACATTTTTTCGGTTGTCCTTTGCCAGATTTCAGCCGTTTTGAGCAACGAAAACTCCAACCACCACCACCATTAGACTCACTGGCTATTCCCCTACAAAACCTCCAAAGTTCCCAAGCCATTCCACCCACCAATTTTCGGCAATCAGAAGCTAGGGTTTCATTGTTTCTTGGCCAAATTTCAGTGACTAAAACTTAATCAAAAACCGCGTCTCGACTCACCTTGATCCACCCTTCAAAATTGTCGAAAGTTGTTGTTTTTGCTTGCCGAAAGTCGCTAGTTTCTATAATTTCTTCACCTGGTTTTTAAAAAAAAAAAACGGTTGG